AAAAACAATGCAAATTGTCATTCTGCGTCTGCGTTTGCGATTACTTTTTGCGATTTGCGAATTATGTAGAAGCATCTTTATACTGAGTATTATGCCGTCTGCGGTTGGTAAAAGATTAAAATAACGAATCATATCATGGATTCAATGTTTTCTTATAACTAATAATAATTAACTCATTCGTTCAAGCTATGTGGTATGTTCTCCTACATTCACGATATGGATATTGTGATCGAGTGTCTTGTTCCATTAATGGTTGATGTATCAGGTATGACGAAAATAATGAATTCCGTACTGTACGTGAATGAGGTACGTACGATCATTTTCTTTATAATGTATCTCACAATCAGAGAGAGTATAATTAACTTACTTATTCTGATTTAATAAAAGCACGTTTTTCTGCTCGCAAGTTATTTCAATGTAGGTAATGTACGAAGGCAATTTACGAAGCATATATCGTTAAACATTTAACTCCGATAAAACGTTAAAACTCAAACAATTTGAACATTTACTTAAGAATATTTTACATTTATAGATAAGAGCCTTGCTCGATCGAATAAGAGATGATTTTTATTCGTTAAGAAATTCCAATGACATAAAGATGCTTGAAAAATATGCTGTTAGTGGCAAAAAATCCTCGACCATTTATGTTTGTGAGTAATTAATTGTTTAATTAATTTTTAGTTTCTTATATCTTTAATTGCTTGTGCTTTTAAATAACACTTTTCTTTAGGTGTGATGTATATATCAACAGTAGCATTTTTGGTGATGCCCCTCCAACCGTTAATCCTTCAAGTCACTAACGTCACCCGGCCTATGTTGCATAGAGTCGAATATTACGTCGACATGGATAAGTATTATTTTCACATTCTGATTCACGGATATTTCACCGCTATAATTTGCGTTACGTCCATTGTCGCGACCGACGCAATATTTGTCATATTTATGCGACACGCTTGCGGTCTATTTATCATAACTGGGTGAGTAACAGCGTTTCACGGGCAGAGATTCGACGACGGGCTCTTTCCTTTCTCAATTTTATATCGTTATCCTTGAAGCTCGCGAATAGAACAAGCTATACAGGAGATATACCTGACCGGAGATGTCAATCCCCCAATTACAAAAGATACGGCGTACCGAAATATGGTACAGTGTGTTCACGATCACAGAGCAGCTATAAGGTTTGTGTCGTTTGTACTTCAATCATTGCAATTTAAGTGCAGAAATCTCTAAACATTCTGTTTGTTTTGGAATAAAAATAAATCTGGTTAGTCTTAGATGAGTACAGGATTTAGTTGTTTAATTTTATGATATTGGGACATTATTTATTAAAATATATTTGAATCAAGGTTTGTCAATCTCATAGAAATTGTGTACTCCAAACACTTTCTATTTCATGCTGGACTGAATATGATAGCTATGAGCGTTACAGGTGTTGGGGTATGTGCATCTTGTATTATTATGTTAATTGTAGTAATAACGGTAGTTGGAAATTGATTTAGTAATGCATTAATAGATGAACAATTACAATTAATTAGTTTCGTGAATATCTTAAGAATGGTTTAAAGAAAAGACCTTTTATTGCATTTATAATGTAATTATTAACTGAATTTGTTATATGTATATTTAATTAAATTAATTCTAGGATTGTCATACATCTGTGACATATTTCAAGTTGTATTCTTGAGATTTTTTATTGTTTAAATGTTTGTATTTTGTAATTTAAAGAAATGTGAATTTTGATTTTATAATGATATTTTACCATGTGTAAAATTCTCCTTAAAAAAGTTTATTTTTTCGAAATAAAATAGAATAGGTATATTTGGGGGTTTAAAAAATCCATTGTGTAAATCAATTACCAAATGTACAAAAAAATAGATCTATAACCCTAGAGTTAAAATATTATTTTTGTAGTTAATTAGCAGCGATTAATATAATCTCATTTAGGCTGTGACAAAATCAAATGATCTATCTGAGCTTTTGGGACTAATAACGGTGTCTTGTGCGTTACTATTTCATCTATGCTTTGAATGTATTAATGCTCAGAGATTGATAGATTATAGCGGATACCTTCATACTAATTTGTACGTATTTCACGCGTAAACGTTGAGTAAAATTAATTAATATTGTTGATAAAAACGTGTAAATATATTAATTTAATAAATTTCAGTAAATAAATGAATATATATAAATTTAAAAGCACAGCTTAGTAAAATGTGAGCAAGCTCTTATCTGTAATTGCAGAATAAATTTGAACTGGTACAATGCGTCGCCTAGAACGAAAAAACTTGTTCTTTTCATGATGATGAAAACGCAGCCGCCGTGCGTATTAACGGCTGGCGGTATGTTCGTTTTGTGCATGGAAACATTCGCCACGGTAAGATAATTTGTTCCGAACTTGTAGGGAGGGAGAGAGTACATTGACATAATAATGTTTATGTATTAGGAAAACACATTACATGCCTTTTCAGAGCTGTCCAAGGTTGGTGTTTTTTTGCTTGAAATTGAAATGTGTCGGTATTCACGTCCATTACCGTTTCTACTCCTCACTTCATTGCTGTTTTGTCGTAGCGCGCGATGCTTGGTCTCATAAATGGACACTAGGTTGAAATCGTATAAAGTTATTGACCTGTGTCTTTCACTATACTTAAAAGCATTCTGTTACTAATATGAAACATTCGCCACGGTAAGATAATTTGTTCCGAACTTGTAGGGAGGGAGAGAGTACATTGACACAATAATGTTTATGTATTAGGAAAACACATTACATGCCTTTTCAGAGCTGTCCAAGGTGTTTTTTTGCTTGAAATTGAAATGTGTCGGTATTCACGTCCATTACCATTTCTACTCCTCACTTCATTGCTGTTTTGTCGTAGCGCGCGATGCTTGGTCTCATAAACGACAATGAAGTAAGGAACAGGAACGGTAATAGATGTGAATACCGACACATTTCGATTTCAAGCCGAAAAACACCGACCTAGGCACCTATCATGGAATAAGGTCGGAATGGATTCCGATCGGAATTATTCAATTATTCCCTAGATTTCTATTATGTTTTTTTAGGAAAAACGAAATAATTCCGATCGGAATTCATTTCGACATGTTCCATGAGGTACTCTGGACAGCTCTGCCTTAATTGAAACACATCTCTCAGTTTCAAGATTATAGTTGTAATCGTATTAATTTTACAATCAAATACTATACTTACAATGTTGACCGTTTTTCTTTAAGATTGTGAAGACTGCTGTCTCATATTTCACTTTCTTGCGCAAGGCGCATTGATGGGCGCAGCTTTCCAAGTTTTAATGAGATAATCATTTCTAGAAACAGCAACCAGTTAGATCTAGGACCGATTAACATTGGTTAGAAATTTGGATCTGAAATTGAGAGCAATCCTTAAATAATTACTGAAGTTGTAACAGCAATTACTAAATGGATGCGAACTATATAAATGATATTGTGGTATTAGATATATATATATATATATATAATTTTTTATAAAGTGCTGTTATTTTTACTAAGTATTTTTATATTACTTAATGCATCAGAATGATTATAGTTACACATCGTCTGTTCGAAAGCAAAATATTTTTTGTAGATGATATATTTCCATCTCTCAAATAGTCTCTAACTTCCGCGTAATTCAAAATGACTCTTTCAACATTAGATGCGCAACATTATTGCGAGAAACTATCTATAGAAGTATCGTTGTATAAAACGTATAAAAGTTGTGTATTTCCTCAGAAAGTATGAAAAGAAAGTAGAGTAGGCCCTGGAATGATATTACAACGGAAGTGAATTGACATGAAATTCGCGGCGATCTTTTCCTTTTGTACAAGAAATGATCGGGAGGTTTAAGCGTTGCATATGTACTTTTAACTTTCCGCAATGCTTAATTCAACCCCTCGCATTGCACGATCACGAAAAAGGCATCGCATACGGTGCGCCGAGAATTTATCTCTTTCTTTTATCTCCTTCTTTAAACTGTCCCATGCACGCGTATCTCAATATCGTGTACCTTGTGCGTGCTACGACGTATCGATTTGATTCCTTCCGCGGTGCAATTTTTCTCCATTATACACTGTCCAAACGGAATGCTTAACGAGGCCAGTGAATTCCTCCCCACGCGTTGCGCTTTCCGCTTGGTAAGGTTTGGCAAGCGCAGTGCTATACCCGCCGCGGGACCGTCAAGATGAATAGTGTTCAAGGTCAATATATGCGTATCAATCAGATTCTTATGTGTCTCATTGGCCAATGGCCGTACCAGGAGAGATGGGAAAAATTCCTGATCCAATTCGTCTTCGTGCCCGCAGTTTTTTCTCAGGCGATTGTTCAGGTAAACTCCCTTTTGAATTTTCTTTAAGTGATGCAGCTAATGAGTTTTCATAAAATTATTGAATAACTAATCGTGCAGCAAAGATAATATAGTAATTGACTATGCATATACATATAAAAGTCTAACGACGATCGAGCTGAAAATAAATGATGGCTACTAAGTTAAAAATTATTTTTTTTTTTATTTTAACCATTAATAAATCACACTTATTATGACAAATAATATATTATTAGAATAACAATACTTACTATTCTTCATTTTAAATTAGAATTATTAACGGCTTCCCTCCTTGCCCATGAGCAACTTGATACAGAAATTTTACATTTCTTAAATTTGAAATCATAAAAAAATATATGTATATATATTATATTTTTGCAAGCTCATATTCTTGTTTTTCGTAATATCGATTTATTTTGTTGATATTTTAATTAAACGTAGCCATGCAAACTTGAAGAAATTTTGCAGGGCGGCGGCATGATCACTGCTTGGTTCGCGGACGACATTGATGCGGCTATGGAAAGTTCGTCGCCTTTTGTAATTAGTTTAATGTGCATCGTTAAACATATTAATTATACGTACAACCATGAACAGGTATGTTTTTTCTCGAGGATGCGAGAATAATTACTTTATCGATACTAATCGTAGTTATTCGTTATACTAAATGTAGATGAAGAAGCTCGCTTTCATAATGGCGGACGATTGGAATATCTATTCAAAACTTAGCGATGAGTACAATATTCTTTGTAAGAATTACGAGATGGGTAGAAAAGTCTCAATTGCTTATGCAGGTAAAAATTATACTAAAAACTTAATATTATAGTTTCCTTTAAAACTTCGCGACATAATTTAGATTAATTTTCAAAATCAATAAATTATATTTTGCATAAATTTCAAATATATAATTTATATAAAATATTTGTGTGACACATAAATATATTTAATAAAATATATATTAATAAATTATAATTCTAAATAAAAATTTATATAAAATATAAATACTTTTCAAGCGAAATTAAACTATCTTGCATACATATTCTGAGCTGAAAAGTTAATAAAAACCATAGGGACATGACTCATGATTGATATATAATTTACAGTCTCTCTATATGGTTCAATGACTCCCTTTCTGGTTGTACCGGTGATAATAAACACAGCCAGCTACATGGGGTTGTACAACATTTCCGATAGACCCCTGATGTTTCGCACGGAATACTTTATAGATTCCGAGAAGTATTACTACCCGTTATTGGTGCATTCGTATATTGGCACCCTCGGATTCGTCACGATCGTCGTAGCGATCGACTCGATGTTGGTGTTTCACGTTCAACACGAATGTGGGATGTGCGAGATCCTAGGGTAACTCCGCAATAATGACACTTCGTAAGACTGAACAGCATTTTCATTCAAAACGCATCTTGTGTATTTGTTATACTCGCATATACATGTTGCTTGCGAGAAATCCGATCGGTGTTAATCTCATCTTATGTTGGATATGCCATACTGTCACACGTTTCTTACACATTTTATTAAATCTTTGATACATAGAAATATATATATATATATATATAATATATACATTTTTGTCGTGTAATTGATTATTGTTGAGCGAGAGAGAGAGAG